GGGTTTAATATTTTTCCTAGAACTTTTTTTTTTTTTTTTTTTTTTTTTTTTTTTTTTATTAAACCTTTAGGAAAAAAAAAAAAAAAAAAAAAAAAAAAGAAGTCTTGCAAGATCATTTAGAAGAGACTTTTTCAGAACGCCAGATCTTTTACAAGCTTCTTCCTCCCACCCCCATACTGACTGTAATGCTTTGAAGTGAAGAAAATCTAATTTCTTATTCCATACCTCCAATGCTTATTCCAACCCAGAAAGCATACATTAGGAAAGATGAGAGTTCACCAACTGTCATGTAGGCACTGCCCATTAGTAATCCTCCTTTGTATAAGACTGAGAGGACAATTAAGTTTCCAGAAAGGCCAGTCTAAAGAAAAAGAAGGAAAGGCAGATTTTGTCACATACATCTTAAACTTCACTCCCTAAAATGCTGTTTCTGAATTTTCCTTTTAATAAAAGAATTCCCATACTATGGGTATACAGATTTTTAGAGGACTGAGTTAAATTTTAACACAGCCAATTCTAGAGCAAACCAATCCAACGGCCAGTCAGACATCCAGTGGCGCTGCACTGTGCTATCCAACAAGTGTTTAAAAAGCAAGTTTTGTTTTTTTTTTGTTTTCTGGTGGTTGTTTTTTTTTTTAACCTCATTCCCCAAGATGGAAAGGAACACCAAACATTATTCTCAACCATCATTAAAGGAGAAGAGTTGATAGTCTGCAGCTATGTTGCAGTTTTAGAATACTATTAAAGCAAACTCACTGCAAGCTGTTACGGGAAACTGCGATCCCACTCTCCCTCCCTCACCTCTGCCCTCCCCAGCTTCCTTTGCATCAGGAAGCCAAACCTGCAAAATGCTCAGGGTGGGAGAAGATTTCCACTGCTTTAGCTCCCTGAAAGGAGGTATGGGCTCAGACAAATAGTACCAAGCTATGGGGTGTGGGGGAGAAACGGAGACTTGACTGGCTTTATCACACCACACTATCTTAAGGTGTGGTTTCACAGCAATTTAGACTGACTTCAGTCCAGTCTTCCCACAGTTTCATGTAGGTTCAACTTACACTCAAATAATTTATTTGCAGATTTATCAGTAACCTCATGAATTTTAAAATAATTGACACTTGGCATAACGTGGTTGGTTTACGTTAATCAAAATATACTTACTGCTCCAAAGAAGCCTGCCCGAGCTACTGCCTCTTTTTTAGCCAGCTGTAGCACATAATCAACTTTATTTGTATACTTCTCCATTTCAGCCACTTCTTGCCCAAAAGCTCGAACTGTTCTTATATTTCCGATACGCTCTTCAGCTAACTACATTAAAACAAAGAAAAAACCAAATATTCACAGGCACACAATTTGGAACATTCATGTTGCAGAACATCTGAAAGTTAAACCAGTATCACTACACTAATCTCCAAATACATTCCTTTGGATACCACTGGGAAATTTCTCATGCCCTCCTCCCCCCACCCTTTTTTTTTGTTGTTGTTTTAAAATAATGCTATTAAGTTAAAAGTAAACCACACACCCAGGCAGTTTAAAAAGAACTTTATGACTGCCATAAATGTTAGCAGAGAAAGAAAAATATAAAAGTAGCATTAAAAAACCTTAATTTGATGTGAACAACACTCATAAGAAAATTACTATTCATAATAACTTGCTATAACAACATGGAAAGAAGAAAAATAAAGAATATTCTATTCTACACTAAACCATGCAAGAAAGCCTGCAGTTATTTCCACTCACTTGATCAAAGCCACATTAAAAATTAATTTAGCTCAACTACATATGTCCCATTTCAACTCAGTATTTTATTTTAGCTTCTAAACAGCCAGTATTAATTCCAAGATTACCTCAATTGTAACCAGCTAGCCAAAGTTGTTAATAAACGCTGTGATGGTCTTACAAAAAATATCACAAACAGGCCCCCCTTTTGTGGGTAAAAGTACGATATAAAAATGTAATTCTCCTTCTTCCACCACCCATTCAACTTGAAATTTAAATAAAATACTAAAATTGCTTTTTCATGTGAAGTCCCACACCTGGTTTACAAGGGCATGAGCTTCCCTTCAACACAGGATGAGGAAGACCAACAGAAGAGGGCTAATCTTCTGCACAGTCAATTTTCAAAAGTCCTACATCAGACATCTCAAGTTTAACACAGCTGACAATCGTGGCTATTTTAACTAGGTCTTTCCTAATTGTATTTCTATGCATTTTAATGATGTTTCCCCACCCTCAGCCTGTGAGAAAAAAGGTCACTATCACTACTATTTCTCTGATAGTGCTTTGCAATATTTCAGTGCAGTCAGCAAACACAATGAAGATCCCTCTAGAACAGCCTCTTTAGGACAAGAGATTCCTCTACATTTCTACCAAATATCTGGGTATGTGCTGAGATGCCCAGAAGAGTTTAAAAAAGTCAAGCCTCATAAACACTGAAGAGCTGACAATGAGGTCAGATGTCAAGGATTCATTCCAGAGAAGAACTTGTTAGCAAAGTTTTCTTAAAAGTTGGATCCATCTAGTATGTTTCTGAGGGCTTCAAACTCATAACCATAGCCCAGGAAAAGTGTGTTTCAAACCTACGTAGCACATTACACAGGACTTCATAGGCTCATTTTTTCGTGCTCTCACACAGCTAAAGCCTAACCTCCTTACACTTTACTACATTTCCAGATTCTCAAGGCCTAGGACCTCCACATTTTATTGTTATGGACAGTTCTTTACAAAGCATGGTTGGTTTTGAGATTGTGTAACTGAAGTTAACCTTTCATACTGTTCAGGTGCAAGACTACGGGCTCAGCATGGCTTCAGGCAACGAACAGTACAATTATCTTCAGAAGATCTGTACTTCAGATATATTAACCGAAATACACTGGAACAACTTTGAAGTTAACTAGAAAGTGTCTGTTAAAAGATTACCTGTGTTGCCTCTGCAAGAGAATCTTGGGTCATTTTAGTAAGTTTTCGCAAGTATCTTCCATAAATTACAGCCAGGACAGCCAAGGGCGGCACAACGCTCAGAACAAATGCAGCAAGGCTAGGAGACACAAAAAACTAGAAGAAAAAGGTATGTGTCAGGGGTTAGCATTCAGATTAAAAATAACCCATTGGAGTACTGAAGTGTAACATCCTTCGCTAGAGTTCTCTAAAACTATTAGGATTGTAATTTAGTACTGCCATGCTTTCATTTATCATGTTTTATGACTTCCAGGCAAAATATCCATTCCTCCACAGCATTTGGGGAATGTATCCCATGGTTAGAACAAAGGATTATAAGCAAAGGGATCTGGATTTCATTTCTAGCTTTCTCACTGGTTCGCTGTGTGGTCTTAGCCCAGTATCCTAACCTGCCAGTAAACAGGCCTACCAGGAAATCTCTTGGGGATGCTGAAAGACATAAGTTATTATATAGTTTCTAAAGCGCTTTCACAACTTTTAAATAGATGGTGTAACACACATGCTACTTCTGGGCAACCGAGGAACAGATGGAGCCACCATTGCTCCCTAGCACCCGCAAATGCTCATAACATGGAATAATGGATTTAATTTATTGTTGCAAAACCTTATCACTTGTAACAATCATCACCAAAGCGCCTAAAGAGGTTATTTTAACAAGATTTATTGAAATTATATCTAATATGGTTTTATTTCATCTTGCTTTCTGTATTGTAAACACAAAAATCTCCAGAAAAAAGTCAGAAGTTACTTAATTTTCAGGCTTTATAATTATTTCATAATAATCTCTTCTTTCTGGGCAAGCTTTTATAGTCCACCTTTTAGCACTGCATCATGGCAACATTTTTGAGAATGCCTTGCATAAAAGTTATTCCAGTTCTTCTATGATAAGATAACACCTTAGACTCTATTTACTTAGGTAAATACAGAAAGCTGTAATTCTTATCAGTGAAAAAGTATTAATGCTTTAAAGCTTCGTATTAAAAACTCTTAACAGTTTCTAATAACATCAATCTTGGAAGCTTACTTTTATGAGGAGACTCGTTGCTATCTGTTTTTAACTCCAGATAGACAGCAGAAATTACCACACTTTCATTTAAGACAATTGCCACCAACGTATCTTTTCTCAGATAAGCATAAAAATATTAATGTCACAAAAACCATCAAGGGAAGTCAGATTTTTATTTAAACCAACTGACCACCACGGAATATTAACTGATGCATTGCACTGAAGCCTTCATTAACACCTTAGCTTCCTACCTAAATACATTCTTTACTGACAGACCAAAGCAGAAAACCTAACACTTGTTGAAAAAATCCTTGGCAGTAATTTGATATTCAGTGCTGCCTTTGCTCACCTAGAATCAACCAACTTCAATGACTTTTACATCGGGCCCTTCACACCCTATTTTACCTAAAATTATGGGAACTGATTTTAATATCTTCAGTAAGAACAGAGTTAAGCTATCTGCCTGCTACACTTTGCTTGATAAATTCGGGCAGCAATGGCAGTTCATTTCAAACCCTTGTTCTCTGTATTTTGGCTTCTGAGTAAACATCAAGTGGCTACAGGCACATCATCTGTTGCAATGTAGTACAGGGATAACTGCTGAAATACACCTGTATCCAAGAACACACAATGGTTTCTGGACTGAAACACAATCACACATTACTTAACAGAACTGAAACAAACTTGGAACTACAAGAAGTGACAAATCAGGAAGAGACCACCATACCATCATTCCAACCCCCACAGATGCCTGTGCTCCTGCCCTGAGCCCATCTGAAAGGTTTTCAGTCACTGAACGGCCCAAGAGGGCTGTATCTGAAGATAAGCGGTTTATCAGCTCTCCTGTTCTGGTCTTGTCAAAGAAAGCAGTTTCTTGCTTCAGAATAGAGGAGAACATGGTTGTTCTCAAACGTTTCACAATTCTTTGTCCTGTCAGAAAAAGAAGTCAGTCAAGCATGGCACACAAGACTACACAGACACCAACAACATAAAAATCACAGGATTACGCAGCATTGAACATGTCACATTATAGAGTTTTAATATACCAAAAGGTAGTGAGCTTTACGATGTCATGTAACGGTAAATAAAACTAAACAATGTTTATTTGTGTCCTTCCAGCATACTTATCTTTGCACTATTAGTTTACCTCTGATCTGGTAAAAAAAGCTACCGATTCCGAGAGGATCTCTCAGCCAGTGCCAAGAATTTATTTCAGATCATTAGGTATCCTGACTAAAAGATGACTCTCAGTAGCACTTTTTGCTTCTGTTTTTACCTGCAGTCTGCATGAGGTAGACACGAGTAGCATTAGCAGCAGCACCACATAAAAAGATTCCACTCAGCAAGGCACACAGGCTGGTCAGGCTGGTAGTGAAGTCGTCACTGGGATTTGTATAAATAACGTCAATAACTTTACCCAGAAAGAAAGGGGCTGACATAGTAATGACACTGGAAACTGTCAGAAAGCCAACAGCAGCTGCAAATCAACAAGGAAAAGGAAAATTATTCTGAATTTGCAAGATTATTAATAGCACATATGAAATAATTTTTGACTTGAAATTTCTATTTAATGCTGACACTTGCAAGGTTAATAATCAGCATTCTTTTAGGCCCAGTTCTGAATGGGACATTTTAAGCCCCGGCATAAATTAACTTAGGCAAGGCACATTTTAAGACCCTGAAAGCCTCTGCATCCAATCTGTGATTGGGTAGAAGTAGACTGACTTTTCTTGTCTAACCTTCCCCACTACCACTTGACAAAGTTAACTCCTCACAGATGTCATCCTTAGAGAGCATTCACAGTCAGCAAGTCTTCCATCTCTCTCATACAATCCTTCACCCCATTTGGTTTGTTTTCTATTATTCATGGTTGCTGCCATAACAAAGCTTCCAGCTGTCTATTTCTGAGATAGCAATTGACTGAAGTAAAGATTTGATCTGAGAACTGTCTAACACAGACAATTTTATTTTGAAAAAAACCCAAACAAACAAAAAAACCCCATTTTATTTACTCCAGACTGGGAAAATTTACAAACATTTGTATTGTTTTACTCTTTACTATTGCTGGTCTAAAAGAAAAATAGCATAAGTTTGCTGATGAGCAGAGCTCTTAAATTCCAGTTGCAAGATCACCCGGGGAACAACCTGTGTAACTGTTTGAACCTGTATCACAGAGTATGAAAAATCGCACTGGACCAAGACAGCCTTTTGAACTTTAATCTGCAAAGAAATTTCTTGAGTCGAGAATACAGCTTGATTCTGAAAAGGCAAGCCCAGCTTGGAAGGCTGAGAACTATGAAAAAACCCTCTTAATTGAAAACTGAACAAACTTGATATGAAAACCACTGAACCACAACAAACAATACCATATATACAGCCTAATATTCTCAACAGCCAACCCCAAACTTAAAGGAACCATTCACAGGACTGCTACAAAACTACTAGCAGCTAATGCCTTTAAAGGCAAAAAGACCCTATACTAAAAACCCTGAAATTTCCTTAGTTACATTCTATTGAGCTTCTTGTATCGCTCCTGCGATGAAGACAGCAGAGAGTCTCCCAGCGCACTGCTGTAAGCAATATTTCCAACATCTGTCACAGATGGTTTGATGCCTCTTACCACCTCCACACCAGGTGGAAAGCTTTGTTTCCGCTTGTACTTGGAGCGTAAATACAGCTGTGCGTTTATGAGGAAGGAGTCAGGGTACAAGAAATGCATGCCTGCCACCAGAGAAGCAAAAGCTCCTCTGCACCTTCCTGGCAGCGCCCCGAGCAGTCCCGGGAGAGCCCCACGTGCTGCCCAAACAAGCTTTGCCCTTGTGTCCAACCTGCTGCCTGCGCTTCTTAGTCAAGATTCGCTTGTGATCCTCCCATTGCATTACACTCAAGCCAGCAAGCACGTCAAAGAAAAAGGACTCCAATCTTTTAACTCCAAGCTATAGAAACTATAAGCAGCCAGAGCAGAAAGGGAAAGTCTTCCTGCTGCAGACTTATGTTCATGGTATGGATCACATATCTCATAAGCTTATTATTTACTAGCTAAAACTTCCTCAGAATGAGTGCCCTTATTAGCAGGCTGGCTGCAGTGGTGCAGTCATGCTGTGAAGCAGTAGAAATCCAACAAAAGCCAGGTCAGCTTCTGTCAGCAAAAGCTGGTCTATTAAGGCAGCTGGAGACGGTCAAAAGCATTGCTTGTAAGCACAAGGCTGCACGGCAGCTCCATCTCCGCTAGTCCAGACAATTTCTCACTTACGGATGGAACTGGACAACTGAACGACAAATATTCACTGAAGGAAGAGGACCGTAGAGCTAAAAAACCCGTATGTCTCTGTCTAGAGGTACAGCCTTCCTGGCTTGGATTTGCCTTCAGCTCTTCTTCATTCAAACTAGCATAGGTTTCACTCTAATTAATTCCAACAGCCTTAACTGAATTAAAAGCAAATGCTCGTACATAAAGCAAATGGAAGACTAATAAACTACTTAATCATTAGACAAAGTTTCAATAATATATTGGAACAATGCAGTCCTGAAGATGAAAGCTATTATAATCCAGATGTCACTTTTAATTTTCCCCTTAAGCAACATACCTGTCCATACTAACTTAATCACAAATCATATGCAAAATAAGGCTGCCTAATTGAAACTCTCACTTTGATTATACCATCAGAACAACTAGAAAGCAGCACAAATGAGATGTTGTTGCTATTTTTTTTTGTTTTGTTTTAAACTGTTGACCAATTGAAGACTCAGCAAACACTCATTCTATCTCCCCATTCAAAGAAGAGCTGTCACTGTGATAACCGGCTGAAGGGAGGAGTACGAAGTGTTCAGCAACCAGATATGAAAACACTTCAGTGACGCTGAAGGTTGTTACTGACAGAAAAAAGGTCAGAGCAAATTTCCTAGTATTAGTTTCACACAGCTTACTCTGTTACCCAAAAAATTATGTCAAACAAAAGAGTGCATTTTGGAAGCTTTATTTTTAGAGTAAATCTGTTTTGTAGGCTATGAAACGAAAATAAAGAAAATGCAAGGCAGATCAATGGAACTGTTATAAAAGCAGGGCTACAAAGTGGCAAAAGCAGTAAAGACAAGGCAGGCTGGCTCCAGCAGCAGCTGAGCAGTCCTCTTGGAAAATGTTAAGCAAACATTTTCCTTGTCTACTTACACAGAAATCCAGATTGCTGCACAGACAGAAATCCAGATCGCTGCACAAAGTGATGCCTTTATCACTATTGTGATCAACATGCTCTCTGCTAAGGCTGATGCGGGCTTGCTTCTTGCCAGCAGACCTGCAATTTCACTTCATAGTAGATGTATTCACGGGAAAGGAATTGGTCACCAACTGATAAACCAGGATGTTTACAAGCAATAACTAGGCAGAGGCACCAGTAACCTCTCTTTAGAATAAGGACTAAGTGACTCCAAAACATTATGAAGCAGCTTTCTACATGCAAAAGGAACACCAAGAGAGTGAAAGTTTCTAATGTTGCTGGTCCTTACCAGAGCATCCTTCTCACCCAGTACAGTAAGTGGAAAAGTGCAAAGCCAAAAAAATGCTTGCAAGCCTGTTGAGGGAAGAGCTATTTTAAACACAAATATATCAAGACCTCGCCTCAGATGAATTAAGATCATTCAAGCCCATCGGAGATGAAGGACAAAAACATGAGGTAATGATGATGTTTAGCAGCACATAGTAACACAGCAACAGGACACAGTACCTAGTTTTTACTATTCAGTAAGATTATTAATGTTACCTCCCAGAATCTTTTAAGTATTTTAGTTCTTTCATTTGAAGATCAGGGCTAGCAGGTCAGAAAGCAAGCTTTGGATTTGTGAGAAGTACCTTTCTAGCAGTAACAGACAATGTCTGTTCTTTACCAGTTATCTTGTGCAGTTTTCTTCTAACATACAGTGGCTTTTTTTAGCTTAACACTGAATTTCCACAAGGGCATTTGGAGTGATGGATAAAGTCTACTGTATTCTATGATGCACATGCACGGGAATCAGGCGCTTCAGTTGTTCTTTTATGGTAGAAAGGTGCACTGATAAATGTTATATTTGCTGGTTAGGTAAGGTCCATTTCCTTTTGGTGATTTCCTTTGGACTGGCTGAAGAGTCAGTTCTGCAAATATTTATTTCAAGATAGAATCTTCTTCCAGAAAACGTTTATAGGAGTATTCTATGGACAGTTTGATGTGGTTATTTAATCTGTGGTGGTTTGTCTTTTTTTGTTGTTGTTTTGTTATTTTTTTAAGCATGAAAGTGCAATTCGAGCTTCCAAATGGCAAATACTATTTTCTTGGTACAACAACAATACAGTTGCACAACTTCCTGAAAATATCTTCAAGACAGCTCATGAAAAGGCTGGCATACTGTGGGTCATCTGACTGACCAGGATTATACAACAGTTTGGAGAAATTAACAGTTGGAGAAAATTGCTGTAGGACAGAATTAAACAAGAGAGGCAATACCTTTGAGATAGTATCTCGAGAACAAGATGGGTGTCCAGGAAGGGCACAGTGAGATACCAGCACAGGAGCAAGACAATTGGTGGCATCCCTCGCGCTCAGACGAAGTCTATCATCTTTGAGTCATGATGTGCTCAGGATTGACAGAAATCACCCCCAGTAGCTCATCAGCGAGGCTCCTATGGTCAAACAGGACAGACCTGCCAGGAGTCCTTTGCTAAGGAGCAAACAAAACATCAAGGAGCCTTTGCAGAACAGGCTATAAAGGGTTTGTCACAAGAGCTTTCAGAGAAGATACTTCAGAGGAGAAGTGTCCTTCCAGGCAGAGAACACAGTGATTTGAGGAAGCCCAAGAAAGGGAACAGCGAGTAAGACTGCCACTCTGCGCAGGAGAGGAGGAGGAGGAAGGAGTATCAAGGCACACAGCCTGACAGAAGGCCCATGCAGAGCTGTGCAAAACCTCTCTGTGAAAGCAAAGATAAAGGCTTGACTCGGACTCTAAGCGAGTATCTTCACCTTCTCTTAATTAAGATGGCATCTCTATTTTACAATTTGTTAATATTACTACAAACAGTACCACAAGCTAGTCTTCTTAAGATACACAAAACCAAGAGAGAGTATAACTTCTTTTTTTTTTTTTTTACTGCATTTAAAATTAAAGCCTTTAACTTGTTTATATTTATCTTGTGTAGAATACAATCTTTATGTCAGACCAATCTAGCTATTATTTCTCCTATATAACTAAATTATAAGCACTGAACTGATCACAGTGGTTAGCAGCCACCTCCTCTGCAATGTCTGACCTATATGGCTTCGTTAACAGTTCACTGACAATTTGAAATAAAGAACTGTCACCAACTAGCCACAGAAAAGAAAAATATTTGTCATAAAGCTACAAGACTGCCTGGACCTTTTGTAAGTTTCCTACTGAACACGGAAGAAGAAAAACTGGGGGGGGAACAACAACGACAACAAAAAAACCAATATAGCCTATTTGATTTCTACAAAAGGCACAGTACACATGAGAAAACAATCAGTAAGTTACCCTTGTATATACCATACACATAGAAATTATGATTTTAAAATCACAAGAATTGCCTTCAGAAGTTAAGTGTGGATGTTGAGTTGCTTTTAAATGAGCAGAACCACTTTAGAGTAACTAAATACAGTAACAAAAAAAAAAAAACAAAACAAAACAGTGGCCATGTACATGGACTTCAGAGGTGAACACAAATTTTGGCCAGGAAGTTCCCAGCTATTGGGTGACAGCACACAAACAGCAAGATTTACAAGACCATGGTTTCAAACCATGTTCCAAAGAGTAGGGTACTCTAGTGCCTGTAAGCCCCTCTGCTCCCACTAGCCTTCTTCCCGTTATTCACACTACAGAATTAATTTGACTCACTGTCAAGGTTTGAATGGGTGTATGAAAACTAATTTTTCAGAGAGACGCCACTTGTCTGACTTTTAATTAATCTTTAAACAAAGGGAGGAAATGTATATCCTTAACAGTGCATGAGTTGCCTGCTGAAGTTCAAACTCATGCTACAAAGCTTGGAAGAGCGAAAGTTTCAAAATTAAACCATTTAAATATTACTACAAACTAAACACATATTATCTGCTTGATTTAATTTCCTAAAATAACTGAAGTTTTCAAAGATACTCCTACTCAAGTACTTAACATAAGAAATGCCAGCTTGTACGAGTATAAATAACTGAAAGCATGACTTTCTAGTAGCAATCCTCACAGCTGATGTGTTCTACATTTCTATCTGCATCTTGTACAAAAAAAAAAGGCAAACAAAAAACCCCAAATTGCTCACTACCTCAATCATCCCCAATCGAAGGAATAATTAAAATAGTTTCTGAACTACATTACAGAGAACATACCTAAAAAAACAGGCAGTCTTAGGTATAACTTATTTTTAATTGCCTTTAAGAATTGCTTTTATAGGTATTTATTCCTTAGAAACTACAAGATAGATCTAGAGCAATCCAATATTGCTCATTCAAGAACGAGAAAGCGCATCACCTGGTGTAACTTCGAAGTACAGAAAAATCAGATTTTGAATAAGGCAGTGCTTTTCTGATTTCATGGCAAATTCTAACTTACAGAAAAACAGCTATTACAAATCATGCCCAAAATTCTAAAATAGAACTTATGAAATAACGTTTCTTGCACATCTCTAGAGAAAACCTGTATACAAAACAAACCTTCTTACTTTGACTAAGTGCACAGTAAGTGTTACACTGGGAAAAGGCACACTTTGCTCTTGGATTAAAAATTTCAGAGTTCCTTGTGCTTACTTTACAATTCAATAGAACTATTGTTTCCTTCAAGTGTGGTTTGGATAAAGCACAACAGACAGTTTCTCACAGGGAGAAACAAGGAGGCAGGAGGAAATAAAAGGGATCATTTTAAAAAGACATTTTTGTGGCCTCACACACACAGCAGGATTTAATAATTTCAACAATCGCCCTGTCCTCTTCCCTGGGAATTGAATTTAACCAAAGACACAGGTTTACCTGACCTGACTGCCCAGGATGAGCCAAAAATTCCTAAAATTACTTCCCTCCTTTGTTAAATCTGGGAGGTACTACAGAGTTTACAAACTCCTAATTTCACTACGCAAAACTGTGGCCACTGAATTCATAGAGTGAATTCTCATCATGGTATTTAGCCATCTTTTT